GTGTTTTAGTTTACACATAATGCACCCACTCTCATGGCCACTAATCTCTCAGTTTGTGAGCCCCCACCATCCTCATCCAGCCATAGCTTCCTATCCTGGCCTTCACCCCAGTGTCCACTTTTTGTTTTTGAGTTACGTGTTACATTAAAATGAACTTGTCAGTAAGTTTGACCTAAACTGTCAGGACATGGATTTTCTTTCTTATTTACTCACTCGGCATGTAGTCTTTATGTATGTACATCTCACGGCAGAGATAGTGTGCTTCATCACCATGCCCCTCCTCCACTCAGGATATACACTAATGTTTGCTCTTTTTTTTTTTTTTTCTGGTTTTTTGAGACAGGGTTTCACTGTAGCTTTGGAGCCTGTCCTGGCACTAGCTCTTGTAGACCAGGCTGGCCTTGAACTCACAGAGATCTGTCTACCTCTGCCTCCTGAGTGCTGGGGTTAAAGGCATGCACCACTACCTAATGTTTGTTCTTATACTGTATTAGTTCAACCAACAAATAAACAGTTTATGAGTTCTCAGACTATCTGGACCTCCAGGAATTTGCTTAGAGATCATGGGGACCTATCATATAACTAGAAGTTACTTTTAGTATTTTATTCTTTTTTGATTTAGTTGTACTTAATTTTTGAAGAAATATGATTGTCCACTTCCTCATCCTCACTGTCCAACATGCAGACATTTGCTTAATAACCATCTAGGTGCAGTGTGTGTGTATGTATATGTGTTCTGTTGCTGGAGGGTCTCAGGGCCTGTTGTGCACATCCCTCAGAGTCTGGGAGAGGGGAGAGGGGAGGACCCAGGGCCTCTGTGCACAGCCACACCTTCAGCCTTCAGCCCTATTTCTTGACTGGACTTTGAACTTACCTCCAACCTAAGCTCCACCCACACCCCAAACCTTCCAGCGCCTGGATATTGGGGTTATGCTGGATGAGTTGTGCTTTTTGGCTCTTTCTAACCTAGGACACTTTTGATCAGATCAATCAGCATTTGACCTTTGCTGCCTAGTTTCTAGACTCCAGTTGCTATGAGCCCTCCCTAGCTTCTGTTTAAAGTGATGACAGCAACAAAGCAGCCAGAGCCTCCGGAGACACCCTAGAGTAGCTTCCTTTGCCCCTCAGGGAGCTTTTAAGGAAGAGCAGAAGTTAAATCTTGCCTTGAAGCTGCCATCTTTGGTGGATGCTGGTCAGTTTCTCAGAGTAGCTCAGGCCTCCTCAGTGTTCGCCTGTGCGGTTTGGAGTATGCGTTACCAGACTGAAGGCTCAGACAGGAGCCAGAGTTGGTGCTCTCTGTTTGTACTCTGAATTCCCAAAAGGCCAAGGAAACCAAAAGTTGTTCACAGAGCCCATATCCAGCTGGGACCCAGGATCCTGGCAGCACAGATCTGCCCCCGTCCGTCCTTGTTCCTTCCCGCAGTCTTGTTTTGGAGACAGACTTTCATTAAGTTCCCTAGGCAGTCATTGAACTTTCAGTGCTCTGTCTCAGCCTCCCAACTAGCTACGACTAAATGCGCTTAATTTAATTGAAACTAGCCCTGTGGTCCCCAAGCCTCCCCCTGCCTCCTACAGCTTCCCTAAGTCATCTAGAAGAGGGATGAGGGAAGAGCCAGGAGGGAGACAGAGTTAGAAGGAGGGCCAGCCAGCCAGCCAGCCAGTCAGGGAGGAGATAGGCATCTGGAAAATTCTTTTTGTTTACAGCAAAACATTTGTGGCTTTCTAGTGAATGTGTTAGAAGCCACTCCACTATAGCTGTGTCTAAGGACCGTACTGGGAATATTTAGCAGTGGGCATGGTGGGGGCAGCCACCAGTTTGGACCATCTTTATGTTTTTTTTTGTTTTTTCTAGACAGGGTTTCTCTGTAGCTTTGGAGCCTGTCCTGGAACTAGCTCTTGTAGACCAGGCTGGCCTCGAACTCCCAGAGATCTGCCTGCCTCTGCCTCCCGAGTGCTGGGATTAAAGGCGTGCGCCACCACCACCCGGCTTTTTTTTTTTTTTTTGGTATCTTTATGGTTTAATAATCTTACCATCCACTGGCCACAAGCCTTATGCTGGGTCTGGAATGCTGCAGCTCTCTATACCTTTCCCCACATTTATCCCGTCTAACTTCCAGAAAGAAGCTTTAGCAAAATGGCTTAGGACTACTCCCCTCCCTGGGTGTCTTGTGCAGTCACACCAAGTGTCCTTGTGCCTGTGGCAGACAGCGGGTGCTACAGAAATGGAAGATGCGGTTCTTATTTCTGGGGAGGTGTCTGGCAGCAAGAGAGTAAGATATGGTGCTAGGGGTGTGCTTAACAGTAAGTGCATGCTGGACATGCCATGGTACTGAATCTGGTCCCTGGAACCTTCTAAGCTTACAAAAGAGTGAGTAGGGGTGGGGCCAGGTAGGATATCCACAGCAGGCTCCTGCAGAGAGCTTGTCTGCCCGCTTTCTCTTTTGAGTTGTACTTCTTGTTTTTCCACATCTTTTTTGTTTATTTGGGTTTTTTTTGGGTTTTTGTTTTGTTTGCTTGTTTTATTTTTTGAGACAGGGTAGCCTTGGCTGTCCTGAAACTCACTCTGTACCCCAGGCTGGCCTCCAACTCAGAGAGATTCACCTGGCTCTGCCTCCTGAGTGCTGGGGTGCCACCACACCTGGCTTGTATTTTTCGATCTTCACTTGTGTGTGTGTGTGTGCGTGCGCATGCACGCGTATGTCACACGTTTGGGTGCCCATGAAGGCCAGAAGGGCCTTAGATCTGTTGCTAAATTTCCTTCACTAGGGGAGACACCAGCAGCATCTATTCCTCCTTTTAAGACCCTAACGGGCTAGAGAGATGGCTCAGTGGTTAAGAGCACTGGCTGCTCTTCCAGAGGTCCTGAGTTCAATTCCCAGCAACCACATGGTGGCTCACAAACATCTATAATGAGATCTGGCTCCCTCCTCTGGTGTGTGGGTATACATGGAGGGAGAATGTTGTATACATAATAAGTAAATTAAAAAAGAAAAAGACCCTAACAACAAACTGAGCCACCACTCGGCCAATGCTCACTCTGGAGATCCAGTGAGTTCACTGTGCTTTCTCACAGGGCAGAGATGAGTGGGTCCCTGCTGGGTGTGAGAGCTGCCTTCCCTAGAAGGCCACACCAGAAAGTCTTCACCCAGCAGGGCTGAGGGCTCTCCCACAGCTGAACAGACAGAGCCCTCTCACTAGTCTTCCAGGCCTGTGTCCTCCAGCCCCTCCTCAGGATTGCATGTTGTCAGGACAGGGTTGTATACAGCAGGTAATAGGGAGATGACTACACAGGTGAGGGACCATGACTCTCCCCACCCCTCTAATAGGAGATGCGAATCACCAACAAGCCCAGCTGGTGCTCTTACCCCTTGAGCCATCTCTCCATCCCCCCTCTGTGTGTGTGTGCATGTGCACACACGACGGTGTGCAGGTGCATGCCTGTAGGATCCGTGTGCTCTCTGCCTGATTCCATTAAGACAGGCTCTCTCACTGTATCTGTAGCTGTAGCTGCTGGGCTAATTGAGCAATGAAGTCTTCTCTCAACACCAGGGTTTCAGCGTGTGCAGCCATAGCCATGCCTTTCTTTTTTTAGATGAGGACTGGGGATTTGAACTCATGTCTTCATGCTTGCACAGTAATCATTCTTGCCCATTGAGCCATCTCAATTTTTTGGAGGGGGATGGTTTTTCAAGACAGGGTTTCTCTGTGTTACTTTGGAGCTTGTCCTGGAGCTCTCTCTGTAGAACAAGCTGGCCTTGAACTCACAGAGATCCCCTTGTCTCTGTCTCCCGAGTGCTGGGATTAAAGGCATGCGCCTGGCCTCAATGTATATTTTAGTCTCAGTTTGTACCATCCCCACGCTCCATGGCCTCCTTACTGGACAGAGGGGGATTGGAGTGAGCAAGGTAGTCTTTGAGACTGAGCAAAACCATGTTTGAAAAGGTGTACTAAGGCTATGCTCAGTGTGCAGGAGGTCCTAGGTTCACTTCCCCATACATCAGGGACGTGCAAACACTACTGCTATGACGAACGTTTCCTCTCTGTTCCTCACTCTTCCTATCACTGTGCACAGACGCCCTTGCATTACTAAGAAGGACCAAGGAAGCATGCTTAATGCTGGGAGGGTAATTTCCAGGGAGAGCAGCCTGCCTCCCTCTCACACCCCAACCCAGGGGGAGCCCAAAGCTAGTGAGATAGCCAGGTAGTTCCCCTTCCTAATGCTGGCCGGGAAATCTCTATAGTCTTTAACTTAGATTCTAAGTCTTAGAGGGACTTCCCCCACAGTTCTTTTTCATAATGCCCTTACCTTCAGTGCCAGATATAAATTAATTGTAGCTAAAGTCACCAATATCTCGGATTTTCTAGGATGCAAATTTTGAACACTCTGTTTCATTCCAAAAACCAGGCTCATCCTATTGCTTCTATAGCGAAATACTGGAGAGTCACAACCAGTGCCTACCAATGGGTGCCGCCAACTCCTGCAATTCGAACTTGGTTTTCTACAAACGGTCCCAGGACAATCTCCCTGCTATGTGGAAGCAGAGAGGTATCTATGCAGCCCCTAAAATCCACCTGATACCTAAGGAGCAAGAGACTTAAAGTTCAGTAAAGCTTTCTAAGGATAGTTTGGCAGGCCGATAAAGGTACTAAGCAACGGTACAGCACTCTGGAGGAGTGTGCATCAGCCCTTGCTTGGGACACCAGCCAGGTGCTGGTACACGCGCAGTAGGGGAGACAATGGCCTTTTCTGTTACTGCTCAGATGCGCTTGTCACATTCTTTAATCGCCAACGGAAACTATTTACTTTCAAGGTCTAGGCCTGTCTAAAGTGAGATGAGGCAGAGCTGTAGCAGTGGGCTGGGCTTCTTCCACAGTGACTTCAGGAAAACCTCCCACTGTGTCCCCGGGCCGGGCCCCTTCCCTCGGGAAGGACAGCGGAAGACAGTGGGAGGCAGGAGGGAGCGCTGGGGGCTGCGTCACCCAAGCTTCCCTGGCTGTCAGTCTCCCAGCACCCCGGCCTCGCAGGTAGAGACGCCCCCTCCCGCGGTTCGCGCGGCTGCGAAGGAGGGGCTGGGCTCCGAGCGCCCGCCCCTCCATCTATCACATGGCCGGAGAGTCACAAAAACAACAGCTTTGGCCAAGACCGTGACTTCAGGAAGGGAACCCAGGGCCCTCACCGCCAGCCCCCTCCCCATGGAGGACAGTTTTCTGGAATCGTTTGGGAGGCTGAGCCTCCACCAGCGGCAGCAGCAGCAGCCGCCTCCTCGGCCGCCGCCCGCGCGGGGGCCACCTCCGCGTCGCCACAGCTTTAGGAAACACCTCTACCTCCTGCGCGGCCTCCCGGGCTCGGGGAAAACCACGCTGGCCAGGTAATGACAGCGGCCTGGCGCCCGCGCGCGCCCCTGCCCCGAGCGGCTCCGCGCGCCGCCCCTGCCCTTGCCCCGCGCGCCCGAGACCTTTGCCGCTCGCCGGCCCGGGAGGACGGACCTCGGCACTGCGCCTTGCGCAAAGCCCCAGACGCCACCGGCCCTTCCCCGCCGCGCCCGGCCTGGTGATCGCCGGGCCGAGGTAGCCTTCGCCCCCCAGCCCCGGGTCGGGGAGGCCCGCGGGGACTGCTCTTCGGGAAAACCTGGTGGCGACTGCAGAGAAACCCGCTCCCCGCCCGCTGGCGCGCAGGCAGCCGCCACCGGGCGTCAACAGGCGCTGTCACCAAAGCGAGTTCGGGGGGTCCGGGGCGGGAAGTGGGGAGGGGGTGTGCCGCGCTGCGCTGGCCGGGGCCGGGGTCCGCTTTGAGATCTGGTGGATCGGCTCAGCCTGCGTCTGCTTTGGCGGCTGCGAAGGCGCACAGGTGCTCTGGGGAGAGGGGGGGGCTGGCGGCGCCAGCACCGACCGTCACTGACAGCCTCTCCGCGGGCGCCCAAATTCGTTCACTTGCGAATTGCGTAAGCGGCCCTCCCGGTACCGGGTCAGCGAGAACTGCGCGGGCTTGCTGCCTGCTGCACCTTGCTAGGCCCACTGTTCCAGCCTGAACGCCCTCCACTCCCTGCCCTGCACTTGGTGTTCCAGCAACGTTGGACTGTTTCTCTCCTTGCTGTGCTTGACGATGCTGGCCCTCCTGCCTGGCTTGCCCACCGCCACCCTTTGCCCGACTGATTTCACTAGCCTTTTTAAACCGGTTCTGTTACCTCCCCTCGCAGCTGCCTCACCCTGCCGTAGAAGCCGCTCTTCTCAGCGCCTTGGCTCCTGTTTACAGCTCTGTGACTGCGCTTAGTGTTGCACAGGATTGGTTTTTCCTTCTGTGAGATGCTTGAAGATAGGGGCCATGTCTTAACCCTCCATGAACATTATCTGGCGCACACTAGTCGGTAGTCATTTGGCCACCTGTGAGCTTTCCATCTCATCAGATAAGGCTAGCCATAGGACCCTGGAACCGCTGAAGAACCAAGGTGGCCTGCGGTCACATGCTGATTACCATGGCACCAGGTAGTGATCATAGGGGGAGGGTCTGAATCCTGGATGTAAATGATGGGGGCACTGAGATGGCCGATAAGGTGCTGACATTTGTAATTGGGGTTCTAGTTCGTTTGTGGAGTAGAAGCATTCAGCCAACGAGAATTGCTCCCTTTGCAAATAAAAGGGATAGGCGACTTGCGAAGGCCACGCTGGTACCCCTTGCTACGACACACTTCTTCTGTAGGTCCTTTCAGGAGGCTCCTGGCAGTGGCGGGACTGGGAGGTGTGGAGAGCCTCCTTGGAAAACCGGGCACGACTTGGTTTTTTTGTGACACAGCAATTCACGGTGGGTACATCTGTTACCAAATGTTTCCAGGGTGCCGAATCTTGTTCAATTTCACTTTCACTTTGCCAGCCTGTAAACCATCACACACTGAAAGTCAGAGAAGGAAGTTAGCCCTTCGGCCATGCCATCTCTAGCGTGCTGAGAGAGGAAGTAGCTTAACCAGAGGCGAGAAAGACACCGAAAGGCCAGGGCCTCGGCTGGGGTGGGCTTTAAGGGTCCTTCCTGTCTCGAATTTTCTAGACTTTTAAGATTTTAAGTCCTGCTCGGCATATTTGACTAAGCAGAAGACATCGGACAAGAGACCATCTCATTAAACACCTGTAGGGACAGATGTGGAGGGTCAGTCCCTGAGAGAGGGGGCCTCTTTCCTAGCTAGGACTGCCCCTCAGCAGTCCTGCCTCTCTGGGACCACTAAGAGGTGATTAAGTTAAATGATTAAGTTAAGTTCATGGGGATCCTCCTCTTAACTGCCTGTTGCCAGACCTCAAAGCTGCTGGGTGATGGCCTTGGAGTCCTTGCACTTAGGACTTCACATCCAAGCTCTGCCACTCACTAACCTTGCCGTGCCTCAGTTCCCTCTCCTCTTGAGTGGGGGATACCTGCTCCTTCTGCCTGGGAGGGCGCTGTGAAGACAATCAGTGGGGTTGCCTCTCAAACTCTGAGGTGGTAGCTGTGTAAATTTTAGGTGTGGTTAACAGATGGGTGCGTGAAAGGTTGAGGGGAAGCCTGGTTGTGCTGTGCAGGAGGTGGGCTGTGGACTGGGAGACCCCCACCGTGCTGGCCACTGTCAGCCTTGAGGCTCAGGAGGCGTGCAGGCCTCCAGGTGGGTTTAGACAAAGTTTGGTGGAGTAGGCCGTAGCCCAGAGCAAGTCAGAACCAGTCAGGAAGTCACAGCCTGGTCTCCCTCAACCATGTTTTGCAGGGCAGGAATGGGAGAGAGGAGAATGAAAAGGTTGCTTTAAAAGACACTTGTGTAGAAAATAAGTTATTATGTATTTGCTAGATTCTGAGAGTCGTTTTCTCTATATGTTTTCCACATTTTCTATAAATGAACGTGTATTTCTTAAATCAGACTAATAAATTTTTTTCTTTAACTTTGGAGGAAGTTAGTTTTTGCAAAAAGTGAGCTTATCTTTTAATGCTTAACTTTTATCTCATTTGACTAAATAACTAATAAAAATCTCTTTTAAAATAGGTTCTGTTTTGTCCTTCAAGTCAACATTACATTCTAGAATATTCACATATTCACACACATTTTTATATGTCTAAGTGGCTCAGATATGGAAAATATCTTTCTGAATTCACTGAATTTCTTCCCTTTTTTTCAGTTGGCTTTTTTTTTCTTTCTTTTTGAGACAGGGTTTATCTGTGTAACCACTCTGTCTTGGAATTCACGCTGTAGACCAGGCTGGTCTCAAACCGCAGAGATCGGCCTGTCTCTGCCTCCCGAGTGCTGGGATTAAAGGTGTGCACCACCACTGCCTGGTTTAAATTGAATTTTAACTCCTTTAAAAATTTTATCCACATCATAGTACTCCAGCCAGTGTGTTCCCTAAGTCTGCGTTAGTGCCTGCATTCAGTTAAGTATCATCTGGGGGTGGGCAGTTATTACTGTGATTCCAGCCTGCATTCAGTTAAGTATCATCTGGGGGTGGGCGGTTATTACTGTGATTCCAATTCTGGAAACTTATCCTGAGGAATTCTTGGACAAGCGTGCAGACCCAGAGGAATGCTCATCAGAAAAAAAATGCAAGATAGCATAAGTATTAAATATTAAAATATGAATTAAATAGCAAATATAAAAATAGATTGGTTTGTGAGTCACACAGTCACTGATGGAAGCAGAGATGTGTATCTGACCTGTAAATGAATCCTTTCCTGTCTTAAAGATACACACAGATCTGAGGGTGTAGCTCAATTGATACAGAGTGTTTGCCCAGCATGCACAGAGCCCTGCAGCTAATCCCCAGTCCCAGAAATCAGCGGTGCTGCTGCACACCTGTGATCCCAGCACTTGGGAAGTAGAGGCAGGAGGATCAGGAGGTTTATTTTTTTTTATTTAGATTTATTTTTTTATTATATATACAGCATTCCTTCCATGTGCGCCTGCACACCAGAAGAGGGCGCCAGCTTTCATTATAAGTGGCTGTGAGCCACCATGTGGTTGCTGGGAATTGAACTCATTGAGCTCAGGACCTCTGGAAGAGCAGTCAGTGCTCTTAACCACTGAGCCATCTCTCCAGCCCCTGAGGGTCAGGAGTTTAAGGTCATTTTGGCTACCTATTAAGTTCAAGACCAGCCTGGGATATGTGAGATCTTGTCTCAAAAAATGAAAAATAAAATAAGAAAGGTTCACACAGTCAAACATATCCATTTTATGCTCAGAGAAAGGTCTGTATAGCTTCTCGGGAATATCCTGTGTGAGGAGATACGTGCCCGCCCCTAGGTGTTGGCTTGGAGTAGTGGGATCTTGGTCTTTTCCCTCAGCTGTTCTCTAGTTTTCAGCAACAATTGTATGTTGCTTGGTAACGTAAAGAAAAACATTTTATTTATTTATTTTGAAGATTTATTTATTTATTATGTATACAACATTCTGCCTCCATGTATGCCCACATGCCAGAAGAGGGCACCAGATCTCATTACAGATGGTTGTGAGCCACCATGTGGTTGCTGGGAATTGAACTCAGGACCTCTGGAAGAGCAGGCAGTGCTTTTAACCACTGAGCCGTCTCTCCAGCCCCAAGAAAAACATTTTAAAGATGTATGTGTGTGATTGTTTTGTTTGTATGTTTACCACATGTGCTCTTGATGCTCAGAGAAGTTAGAAGAAGGCGCCCCATCTGACTCTAGAGTTATGATGGTTATGAACCATCATGTGGGTGCTGGGAGTCAACCCTGGGCCCTCTGAAGAGCAAGAAGTCCTGTGACCCCTGAGCCTCTGTCCAGCCTGATTTGCCACTTTTTAAAGAGAAAATCAAGGCCCAGTTGAGTAAAAAGTTGTTTAATGGTCTGGCTAACTAACCATGTCATTCTGTCAGGAAAGTCTTTCACGGGCTGATTTCCAGTTGGATGCATGCTAGGAAACTCACTCATGAGCAGATGAACTTCTCTGTGTAGCTCTGACTGTTCTAGCTGTTCTGGAACTCGCTCTGTAGACCAGGCTGGCCTCGAACTCACAGAGATCCACCTGCCTCTGCCTCCCGAGTCCTGGGATCAAAGGTTGTGTGCCACCACTGCCCGGCTGAGGAGATGAACTTCTAACGACGATGACATTTTATCTGGATTCTTTAATTCCTGAGAGTCTTCCCTAGTAACACAAGCTAACACTCGGCAAATACATTCACTGTGAAGATCACAGATAACATAGTAATCAGATGCTGTGGACGTGTGGGTACCAGCTACGGCCAGTATTAGCCAACTGATGATCGATGAGGACTGTGTTCCCTTGCTACTGAGACCTATACTCACTGAGGTACCCAAGGTGCCTACTAGAGCTACCAAGTGGAAACAAGTAACAGTTAGCAGTCAGTTCTGCTCCGTAGGCCAGTAGGGTTCACGGAACAGCACTTT